TTATGTAAAAACGAGCGTTCTTGCTCATTTTGCTTCCGAGAAACATGCAAAACGGGACGGAAAACATGAAATTTTGCAATAATCTTGCGCCACCCGTGCACAAAACGACGATCATTTTTCTAATTTCATAGATAACAGAATACTGTATTTTTTTCTACATAACCCCCCCCTGACTTTAAAGCTGGATCCGCCCCTGCTTTAGGGGGGAACAGCCGGAGCCCGTAATGAGGGTTTGGGGTTTGTAGGCAATGTGAAAGACACGAACGACATACTTAGTCAACATGCACTTTTATTGTCAATGATTAAGACTAGTTTAGTTAGAATAATCGAAAGATTGCCAATTTCTTGTGCTACATAATCGCGCGATATTGAATCGAATAATGCGATTTTTTCGGGATTCTGGTTCGAGGGAATGAAAGTTATTATATACTTTCACCCCACTGAAAGAATTTTGTGCTTTCTTGCAGATGACTTTGCCTTTTTCGACAATTTTGAATTCAGCCCCTACTGGTTACAATTCAGTGGACTATTGAGCACAGAAACCATCGACAAAATGATGAAAATAAAAAAACTAGTCACTTACTTGCCGCTGGCATGCCGAGGCTGGCCGCTTGGCTGACGGCAACAGACAACGTGTTGGAGTAGGCGTTGCTGTAAGCAGCGGCTGCAGCTGCAGCTGAAGATGTGGAAGCCGAGGAAACTGATTGGTAGTTGGGCGGCAGCCCGGCTCCACTTGAAGCGGCACCTCCGGCTCCTCGTCCGGATTGAGTGGCAGTTCCAGTCCCTGGACCCAACATTCCAAACGGCAGACCGGCTGCTGCATGCGGTGGCAGCCCAAAACCGCTCGCTGCAGCAAAAAGGTTTGCGGCACTCGCATCGCCTCTAGGCCAGTAAGCTGAAACAGCAAGAAACAAGAGTTGGTTGAAACCAGCCGTTTTCCCTACTTGAATACTGTTTCCAACTCCTCAAAGTTGGAGATTAGACAGTGTTATGATGATTCAAGTGACGTCCTATTGCAAAAAATGAAGAAAATGTTGCATAAAGTTGCAAATTTGTGCGCGATAGAAAGGGGTCCATCTTTCACAGGCCACAATTCGGCATCAATCTAATCCAATCAATGGTGCACACTGGAGTAGGTTCCTAAAACATCGATGGGCATCTGTGCAAGCATCAACCCATTAAAGAACGAAAGTAAATTATTTTTATATTTATATTTATATTATTTTT